AAATACTGGAAATGCAACAATTTAAACTGTGCTTTCGTATTTGTGTGTATACCAACCAAGTGGTCCTAATAGCAAATACTTTTGGGAAAAGCTGCAAGCTGACACAACTGTAAATTATTGATGATAATATATCGAGGTTTCGCTTTTTCTTCTAGAGAAGGAATAGTTTTTTTTTTTTTTTTTTTTTTTTTTTTTTTTTTTTTTTTTGTGAGGTGGAAAACCTTCAACAGGCGCCCGTTAGGGCAGTGCGAGACTTTAATCCGCTAAAAACCGCGTCTTCGATGCACTTACAAAAACTACAGAATGGGTCCTGTTCTACTCTAAACCTATTCAAATATGACCTAAACCAGCCATGGCCGCTAATTATCTGTGTCAAATAAAAATCAACCTCACCATGTTGCCTATTCATCCAGGGCCGTAAATCTGGTATGAGTCGATGCGTCCACCTACCCTTACCCGCTCTGCTCCAGCGCTCCTGCCACTCTTCCACTAATCGCCGTTTTGCACGCTGCCTAGCTGCATCAGCCGACAGTCTGTGAAATTCGGCTCTATATAGGCCTTCTTTAGCACGCAGGTCGATTGGCATCATGCCAGCGACGACCAAGGCCGCATCCTCCGACACCGTCCGATATGCGGCGCACACCCTTAGGGCGCATAGCCTGTATGCTGCTTGTATGTCTCTCGTATATGCCGGTATAGCGAAAGCCTTTTTCCCACACAGAAGAGCCGTACATTATTGTCGCAGTTATCACCTCTGCGATCAGCTTTCTACGGTCTTGCCTAGGGCCACGCAAGTTTGGCAGCATGCGCGCCAACGACTTTGCTACCTTCGCAGCCTTTTCGCCCGTGTATTTCAGATGCTGTTTAAACGATAGTCTGCAGTCTATCATCACTCCTAAATATTTTATGGCTTCTTGAGACTGTATCCTCGTATCTCTCACCTGGATAGTCACTTTCTCCATTTTCTTCCTAGAAGAGATTAATACCGCTTCTGTTTTCTCATCCGCCAGCTCTAAATCCACTGACCGCAGCCGCCTCTTGATCATGTCGGTGGTTTTATTCGCTGTAGTGGTAATAGCCTCCACAGTTTTCGCCACGATAGTTATCGCTATGTCGTTAGCAAAACCCACGATGGATGCTCCATCTGGGAGAGGTAGTCTCAGGATATCATCGCACATTACGTTCCACAGTGTAGGGTCTAGGACTGATCCCTGAGGTACCCCTCCAGTGGTCAGCGTCTCTCTGCACCCTTTATCTGTAACATATCTCAGTTTCCTGCCAGTACAATAACTAGCCACTATATTTATCAGATACGGTGGGACTCTTCTTTCCTGTAGGGCAGCTATGACGCAATACCAGTTTGCTTAGTTGAATGCATTCTTAATGTCTAATGCTATTACTAAGCAATACTTTTTATTGCCTTCCATTCATCGCTTCTGCTGCGGTATTTGTGACCATCTTTATTGCATCCATTGGGCTTTTCTTCTTCCTGAAGCCGAATTGGAAGTCCGACAGCCCTTTAGATCTTTCCAGAGATGCTTCTAAACGATTTCGGATGATCTGAAGGAATAGTGTGTGTGTGTGTGTGTGTGAGTGCGTGCAGCATAACTAAATTTTTTTCAGTTCCTTTTGCAGGACAAAGCTATCCAAGTTCACATCTTCTTATCAAAAAGGAAGGGTTTCGTACTCCCGAAATCATCATCAGTTGTAGCTTAATAACAATCCGCATCCCACTTAAATATAAATAATGCAAAACGAATATTATCAATATTATTCAATTGCGAATATTTCCCCTGCGATTAACTTTTTTTTTTTTTTGTTTTTTGTTTTTTTTTTGCATAAAATGAATCAATAATAATGTTATCGTAGTAACAGAATTGTCGGGAATTCTGTTTCGTGCAAATTTTGTTATGAAATGTTTACATAGTTGGGGCTTTTTGCTTATTTCCTAAATAATTAATGTGTTAAACATAATTCCATGTTATTTGATATTTTTGTATTTCCGCCGCCAATTTTCACCGACGCGCATAAGTTAGCAAACAATGAAAAAGGCAAATAGTCTCTTTAAATTTTATCACACTTTACATATTTTATGTGCAATTTAAATTCCTGATTATCGCGAACGTGAAAAATGATTCCATTCACGTCGATGTTTTGTCACATATTGAAAATATGTACAAAACCATTGTTGTTTATGCCCTGTACACCCCTTGTGTTACAGAGTATATTAAGTTAGTGCGGGTGTGTGTACAGCAGGCCAGGAGGGGTTTATGATAGACCCACCTTTTATTATACCGTTCGATTCTGCATCGATCTAAGCCTGTCTGTCCGTCTGTCCGTCTGATGTCTGTCAATGAAAATTATGTTCAAGCTGCAAGTCTCAACGCCCAATGCTGCTTTTTTGGGCTAATATGAAGGAAATTGCTCACCCTTCAAGTGATGGAAACTAAATATGATGTAAGATCGGAGTGTAGTGCAAATTAATTACCTGTTTAATATGCTATAAACTGCTCTTCACAATGAATGACACTAATAATAAAAAAATGCTATTGAGCATTAAGCCACAAACGGTCGCAACGTCGGAAAAGATATTGGAGGTTGATCTTCAACTCGGTAATATTTTGCAAAACCCGTTAACAGGACTGGCCTGCAGGCCCTGGGACTGCGCTACTTTTGCTATGTACAACAGACGGCCGCTGTTTCCGATTAATATCTCTCCTAATGATTGCTTATGTGTACAGATATATAAGTTCAAAAGACTCGTGCTTTTGGCACGAAATTCCATTTTGTCAGAGAGGCGGGAAAAATGTATAGCTAATGATGAAAAATGCCTTGAACAAAATTATCTTTTGGAATTCCCCCGAGCTAACTATTTTTTACATCAATCAAATCTTGCCGCGGGCAGTATATTAGGTTAATGTGTAATATTTGATGCACTGTTTATTATATTGCTTGATCAGAGTCATTTTCTAAACGTAAAATTGGTAAACTGCTTCATTTTGTCTCAAGAAAGAATCCTATTAGAAGTGAATTGGACCCGACTTTTTAAAAAAAACCGTTATATGAAAAAATTTGCAAATTTTGGACAAAAATTTTTCAAAATTTCTCGACAAAAATCGATAAGCGTTTCAGCATTTTAGCAAATTTATGTCAAAAATGTAAATCGGATGGTCCACTTTTTTGACTCCCCTCATCATAGAACGGTTCTTACGAAAAGTCAGCCCTTGAACGGAAAAGAGACGTAATTCTTATGATGAGCATTGGTTTATATAGAAATTAATTTGGACGACGTAGGTCTGCTTTTGGACACCACGCCCTATAAGTCTTCTCATGAAAAGCAAACCTTTAAACGGCAATAATTGCTTCACGCGGGAAATAAGTAAAGTGTAATGGGATTTAGCTGCTTTTGGGCTCTACCATTTCACTTCTAACATCCCCTCTATTGATAAGGTCTTTTGTTAGTTTATAGTATAGTTTATTATGCAGAGGTGCATTAGGCGAAGCGATGGTGTAAGATAAATTGACACCTGGCCTTACTCGACTATAATGTTTTTACTTATGTTTTTGTTAAAACACTGCGTACATATAATTTTTACATACCTTGAATAAAATTTTACTTTTTAACGAAATGTTGTACATACCTTAGCATAAGTTCTTCGCATTTTAAAAGTATAAAATGTTTAGCTGTGAGTCGACAGTGGCGTCCCATTGTGGTGATTCTTTTCGAAAAAATTTCGAAAATGCAGAATGATTTATTAAAGTTCAACAAAATAATTTCTTCTAAGGTATTGAGCAAGCAACTTCGGGATTAAATAGAAATGAGAAAATTAAATTCGGTCGGGGCCGAATCTATTATAGCCGTCATTGTTATCCTAAAAAAAACAAAAGAAGTGAAAGAATTAAATTTTCATGCTCTATAACACGGAGTGGACGCAGTTGATATTTTCTATTTTCAAAATAAAAGTTTTTTATAGGCGTGTCCTTTAAAAAGTTGAGTTTACGTCGATTCCAAATTCTTTTACAAGTTTTTGGGCGGTATCTTCACTTTCGCTAATGGGAGAATGTTTACCGCATATACCATAAAGTTGCGCCAACAGGCAGACGGACAGACGTATTTGGCCTAACATGACATTGGCCAAGAAGTCGTATACTTTATGGGGTTTTTAATGCTTATTACTGTGCTTTGTAAAGGTATTGTAAAAAAAATTAAATTTTGATACACTATAACACTGGATAGGTGTGGTCAATTTTGTTTATTCTTGCACACAAATGCTATAGAATCGCTCATAGAATATGCGTTCAAATTTTTGTTCATTCATTTGTATAGTCTAAGTGCAATGCGGAAAAAACCAATTTTTCATTGCTTCTGAAAAACACTTTCATTCGTTCTTCGATCGATTTGACCCAATTTTCAATACCAATATGCGCGGAAGAACTTCCAGTGTTTTTGCCAAAATTTAAAATCGATAGCTTCATTTTCGCGGCCAGCAGAATATTTACAACAGACGGACAGACGGATATGCGTGAATCGATTTAGAATTTGTTGCTGATCAAGAATGTATACAGTTTGTGGACTCTCTGATGCTTGCTTCTGGGCGTTGCAAACGTTTTGACAAAATGAATATACCCTTCATCTTTCGGTGGTGGGTATAGAGAAGAGTAAGAAATTAGCGAAAAAGAAGACGTTCGATCATATGCGACTTGATAGCAAATTTACCTTTTGTAAGGAAAGCATTAAAAAAAAAAAATGCTTGCAGCAAATTTTATTTAGTATTACTTGTACACTTGTGCTTACGTATATCCATGTATTAAATTCCGCACCAAGGTGATACTGCTGTTACTGTTGTTGTAATTTTAGTAAGCATAATATGTGCATTTTTTTTAAACTTCATTAAAATAAATTGTTTAAGAACTTTTTTTTTAATAAAAGTTGTTCATCATCTCGCTCTCTTACATGTGATTGCGTATATAGTTTACATTTCATTCATACTTTCTTTTAGGTAAAAGCATCAGATGCATCTGTAGTGAGGGTGACATCTTACACAAAAGCTCATGGAACTTTACATTACAAGATAACGATTTTAAAAGAATTTCCGATTGATGAACAGTTTTATGTGAATGTTCATTCGCCAGTCACAATGCAGGATATACAGGTAAGTGTAAGAAACATGTTTGTGTGTATGCATGCACAGTGATCGGTAAAAATTTTGTTTCAAGTGAAAATGAAATCGAAATTTTAACTTATTACCTCGAGTCTTCCAAGTGTAGGACTTGAGGCAAATATTGAATAATATGTAATCGATGAATGACGTTCATTATATTGCGGAATTCTTCCAATGTGAATACATTGTATTACGTACCTGCAATTTAAGTTATGTCAGAGCTTGCAGTTATTTTTGAGAATAATAATAAACCGGATACTTGGAAAAGTAATAATAATTTTTTTTTCAGATTACTGTATGAATTCCATGCATAGAGTACAATGAAAATTTTTATACTAACAATACAATAAATTTCAATAATTTCTTTTTTCTAAACGAAATTTTTCATATCGAAACCTCGGCATAATCCTTACGGATATTATTCAAACAAATACACACGCGCTTGTAAATTCAGGGGTTGTTCGAAAAGTCTCCGACCTAAGCATGAACATTGCAGTGCTTGCATTGCTTGCGAATGTTGGAGAATACATTCTTGGACGTGCTAATAAAGCTCAGCAAAGTTTCAGCCATTATGCACCTTCACGTGTTCTTTGACGATCGTTTCAGTAAATAGATGTCGCTGTCTTTGCGAACATGTTAAAACGGACTGCTGTTAAGTATTTGCTTTTGGGAGGCTCAAAATTTTGGTTAAGTGAACTCAAACGTTGATCATGAACGTTCGAAAGGTCAAAGACTATAACTACTGGCGGGAGCATCGCCCAAGTCAGCCAAATTGAACTGAATGTATGCTCAACTAAAGTGAGAGAGATAAAGAGAGAGAGGGAGAGAGAGGATGAGAGAGAAATGAGAGAACATTGCGTATTGAGTCAAGATTGAATCGGTGAAGATGGATATCACTTTACCATCTCCTCCAGATCGGCACTTCAGCGAATATTAAGTGTTGAAAAATGTCAAACGGATGCTCCGCGGAAAAAATCTAGGACCAATGACGAGGTCATTGAAGCAAATTGTGCAAATAATGCCAGTAGAGTAGTAGCCATCGAAATATTAGAGAATTGTTGAAGTAATTAGAGGGGAGACCACGTTAAAGAACAGCTGGCTTACAGAAAAGACGCTTTTTTCTTATTTAGGTTGGAAACTTTTCAGCCAATCATCAATACCAAAACAGTTGATTAGATTTCCTTTCCTTTACGAAATACTTGCATAAATTGCACTTCCAAAGTACTGGAAATTCTTTTATATTTAAAAGTAAATACCCTGAAGGGAGTTATGAATAATAGTTGAATGAACGGTGGATAAGTACGATTTGAATTGTGTATTAAATCATAATGTTTTTTATGCATGAATGAAGATATAATTCATTCAATGTGTGAGCGTAAGTGTGTACTTACCGTGAAAAATACATAAAATATTTAAATAAGATAAGATTTAAATTTAATTTTTAAATTTAATTTTAAAAATCTAAACGCAATATAGTGTAAATATTTAAATGCTATTACCGTTGAAACACATAAGCCCCGGAAATACATGGTCTCTTCATTAAGATTTTATATGTACACTTGCTTATTTATTCGCCAAAATAACCATTGATCGCATTACCTACCATGTCTCGCACTTTCCCTCATCCTGTAGTGGCAAAATTTCGTCTATTACAGGAGACAAGATTAAATTGATTTGCAAATTCTCTCTCAATCACATGTCTAGTATATGTATATATTCTCGTATACCGTTAGGAATTAATGCCTTTTATTCATAACAATGTGTAGATGTATTTTGTAGATTTTTGCTATGACGAACTGATTGACAAAATGAACATGTCTTATTCTCTAGCGGAAGCACTTGAATTAAATAAAAAAAAAATAATAAAAAAAAAAAACACGAAGAAACAAACCCATAACACAATGATAAAAAGTTTTTATAACTTTGTCTAAATATTATTTTATATATATAAATGTTTCTACTTTCAAACATTGACAATATCCAGACATGCCACCTACATTACGAACATTAAACTTTGTTTCTTTCATATCAGAAAAGCGTTTAATAAGTATGTGTGAATGACTTATCAAAACCTAAACTTTTTGTTCTTTTGTTTTTTTTTTTTTTTCTTTCCCCTTTTTTTTTACTTTCATGCAATAAATAACGAATACGAAGTTCACTTCATTTCACTGTGGGACAAACTATTAACAGCCGTCATCTGAAGTCAGTAGTTGGTTGAGCAATTGCGGATACTTTTACATTCATTTGTTAGAAGTATCTGGTTTAGATTCTAGATCAATATTTGCCATGCATTATGAGTTCGTAATTTTCTGATCCTACAACAGTTACTGCTGAACTATTCTGGGCTGATCTTTAAGAGTAAGCTTCAGCTTTCTATGTAAATTTTTGCAGTCGCTGGAGTTTAAATGGCAGGCAAGGAACAAATAGTCCTACAAATAAACGAACAGGTCTTTAAGTGTCTCTAATCTTTATCCCTAGATGTTGTAAACCCACGAACAAATCTAATATATTTACTCTGCAGTGTTGTGGATATGGAAAAAAAAAAATTGTTCATAACTTTTTATATCCAATCGAAAATTGTCCAACAGGCCATCTGATACGGACGTTGCATGATGCATCCAAGTTTTCGATATGTTTTCTTTTTCTCTTTTTGATCTTTTCATTTTTGTGCAGCTTCGCCTCGTATTTTGTACCGTGCTGTTGTATTATATAATAATATTTACATAAATACTTAAACTTTCTGAAAACTACACGAAAAAGTTGAATAAGCTTTCAATTGTTTGCAATAAATTTCTTCTCAACATATATATGATGCAGAACGCATTCTATATATATGTACACTATATATTCACCATGTTCTTCTTCATCTTTAGTGGTACATTTGTTTTGGTATTAATTTTAATACCTCCAAGCAATGCACCCAAGCGGTCAAAAACGCTTTTAATTGTTAGAATGGGAAATGTGGCAGACAAGGCATTCAAGTATTTATTAGAATTATAAATTATATCTGATAAGTAGGATATATCTACTGATGTGAATTTTTAAAAATTTCACAAACTCAACTGCGATGGTGAAAAACTAAAACGGAAGTGGGAAAAAACATATTGTTTTCATCCAATATATGTCTGGAAACGTCACATAGATCTGGAAATATGGAGTTTACAATGCCGGCGATCTGCGAAAGGCTTACGTTAAGCTGGATGTATCGCGGTGCTGTTATTAGGATGTCAAAGTCGTCTTTTTCTTTCTCATCGGGCATCGTGGGGTTAAACCGACAAGGTAGTGCGCCCACGTTAAACCTACAAAGACATCTGTTACATTATTAATGTTCACTAATTAGGAGGGCAAAAGGTTATTGATTGATTAATTGCAGCCAACCCATTCGCAGTTGCTTGGGATCTACTTAAATAAAGTTAAATTTGCATAAGTTCATCATTGCCAGCACATTGGCATTTAGCATTTTCTTATACCGAAGTTTAAAGCTATTCTAAGGAGTTCTGGTTTGACCAAAATTGTGGGATAAGTAGTTCCTAAAAAAGCGGTTATTCTAATTTTTTTGACTGAGTCACGTTTTATTTTTTTTGTACCCATCGCCGAGGTATGCGGGATACATTCAAGTTATAATGCGCGAGTATCTGGAATATCAAAAATATTTTTTTTCTAAATTCCTAGCACTGCAGTGACGTCATTTCGCGTCATGTACGATACAAAAGGTATTTTTTCCGGTTTTCACAATATGCGATTTTCTTCAGTTAAAACTAAGTGAGCGGTCATTAGAACGGAAGATGAGAATTGGATCTAAACAAACTATCGATGAGACGAGCGGAGATCGTGCAAAAAGTGAATAAAGACCGAAAAAACCGCACCAAAGTCGCTCAAGTCATGTCAACAGATCGCTCTGTGGGTTTAACGTCTGCACCTGGCTTGATGCCTTAACCAGACGGGTTGCCTACAACCATAGGCACTCAATTAAGTTGAGTGATCACCCCCCAAAGGGAGAGACAAACCCATAATAAGGGGGCCTTTCTTACCACGACGTGCGCAGATGGTTCATTGTGTATCGCCGTATGAACCGCTACTCTGGTATGCGGTGAGGCCTATCATCAACCCGGATTTATTCCAATGGATATGAAATGGTGAAAACCACAGCCACTACGATAATTCTCGAAGGGCCGTACCCAGCAGTCAGGGCTCGCAAGGATGATGTACCTTCCAGCGAACTTTCCTGGTACATCAGAACCCCTGCGAGCGGGCTTCTGACCCCCGTGGTGCTTAAAATTTGTCTACAAAGCCTTTAGCATTACTTTGCGCTTTGTACTACTAAAAATGTAATACGCCACTCTTGCCTTTAGACTATACCATACCGTCAAGGTTAGCCAGTACCGGACTATCTTTCTTCAAGATATATAGTTATCGGGCGTATCAACTGGCATGAGCAGATTACCATGCTCTCACCAATTACTATAATGTAGTACTTCTACTAACCAGCTACCCTTGAGTCCGGTTAGATTTCCGAGGATCACCACTTGGAGGTGAGAGTTTTGGCAATTCTATGCAAAACATAGTTTAGCTCCCCAGTCATGTTAACAGACTGCTTCGATTATCGCGAATTCCTTCCGTCGGGCCAAGCTGTGTTGGATGCTTGCAAAAATTTTGGCCATTCTTTCATACCGTGCCGAAAGAACGTTATTGATTTATCAGCGGCCCAATCGTAGACCTATCTCCGCACTTTTTCAACATTGCTGAGTGAAAAAGTGGTAATCAGGGGCGTCATGTTTGGTGAATAAGCTGGATTTGATGGAAATGACCGTTCGAGCTGCAATAATGTATCCTGGACAATTATTGCAACAAGTGGCCAAAATGGAATTTTCAGTCAATTCGTATGGTAGCTATTTTCCCTCCTACTAGTGGTCTTCCATCGCACGTAAACGTCTACAAACAGTTGATTCATCAATTGCTAAGTTGTCTGAATGTTCTTTGAGAGTTTGAGCTGGATTTTCGTCCGGTTTGTCTTTGAACTTTTTTACTCCTAACGGCCTTTCTTTGCCATTGGCATCAAAATCATTATTTTTAAATCGTTGAAATCGCAACCGACAGTTAGGACGGTGAGTTTCTGAACGGGTGTGGCTGCGACAGCCCTAATTGAACAAAAAAAATAATGAAGGTCGAAAATGTAATTTTGAGCGTCCTTCAATATCTCACAAGAGTACTAAATAAAATAACAGTTATTTTAGGCGGAGAAAGGCCCATATGTTATATGGAATGGTATTTCCCATCTCTTTACCATGTTTATCTGTGGAATTCCTTGGCCAAAATATTTGCAAGCACCAAATATATATATATATATATATATATGACCAGTGTCCGTCTGCCCAACTCTATAGTATCTGTGGTAAACATCCTTCCGGTTGTAAAAATGAAGATATCGCCCACAAATTTTCAGAAAAATTTAAAAATGAAAAAATCCGACTGAAGAACATTCCTATAACGCCCACAAGCTTGTACAGAAAAAATGGACATCATCTTTGTTTCCCGCGGTTTTCACATGTTGCTCAGAGACTATAACAGTGGGGCGATTTTAACTTTTATTCTACAAAATAAAACAAATCAGCCACCGTCGCCTATTATTATATGAAAATTTTGTTCTTTTCTTCTTTTACTATTTTTTTTTTTTGTTTGGTAGGTATAGAAGATTCGGTCACAACCGAAAATAATTTTCTTACTTATTCTTACTGCAGATATATTTATGAATATTATTATGCATGTAAATAAGTTTGATAATTGCGCAGGTTTACTTATTGTGCCGTATGCTAAGAATATGTAAGATTTCAACATCAACTCAGGTAAAGTTCTTCTGCTTGAGAATTGACGAATTGAGTTAACTTTAATGCACGTTAACTGTCTTCCGGTTTATTCTTTGTTAACACATCCACATCCATAAGAAGTGATTCAAAACCAATTGTTAGTAATCGTTTAGAAATTACAAACATCGTTTCGAAATGACAGAAACAATTCTAAAATAATCGGAGAAATAAAAATAAATAAAAAAAAAACAAAGGAAAAAGAAAAAAGAAAAATAAAATGTCATTATACGCAAGAAATACGGAAAAGTATAAAAGCTCTTCGAAATAAAGTAAAATGAAGGCATTTACATAATGACGATACACCGCAAAAATAAATTATGCATGCCGTTGTCTGTCGTTGTCAGACTTCCTTCAATTCTGCTTTCCATTACAGTATCATCTCATCATTGTAATTGCACAACATCTCGCAATCCTTTACGTACTTTGTTGGCGTTAAAGAAATCGTATGAAACAAAACGTTCGCTCCCGTATGCATCATGCAAAGCGTTGTGTTAACCATACGATAATTTTTCCAGGAACATATGTTCAATACATATGTATATAAAAGTATGTATGTATGTATGTATGTATGTATGTACTGTACATTTGTATGTTTGTATATTTTTGCATTGCTATTGTCGCTCAATGTTTCGATAATGATAAACAAGAAAGAATTCTTTTTTACTTCTTCACATTAAATGGGATCTCTGTTGTTAATGTATTGGAAACTTTATATGCAACAATACTTTGTTTTCTCATGCTGGATATACATACGTACATACATATATACGCCCGCCCGTTCGCCCGCCCGTATATACCATATATCGTTTGTAGGAAGCGGAAGCATATAATTTGGGTTGCACAAGCAAAGGACAAAGCCAGGCGGAATTTGTTTAATCGATGAAATACATTTGACATACAGTCAATGTATAACGTGACTTCTGTCCCTTTGGGAGTGGTTTATATATTTACGTAGCTTCCTTAGTTTTTTCACTTGTCATATTACATACATGCGTTCGAATGTATTGCTCTTGAAAGGAGTTTTTTTCTTTTTTTATAAAAGATTTCCTTTTTCTTTTTTCATTTTATTTTATATTTTTGAGATTGTATTGTGCATTCTGTGTCGTGGTAGGAAGACACGCAATTTACGATTACATTTGTTTTTTTTTTTTTTCTATATATTTATTTTAATTTCCCATCATTAAATACGATGAGCGCGTAGCGAGAGTACATTCGTACTCTACAGATATTCAGGTCATGAATATTCCATAAATCTCCCTTGGAGAAAAATACAGTTATTTTCTCTTCTCTCGCTAAGCCTCTAGTTGTCGATTTCCTAACTACTGCTACTATTGAATTGAATTATCTCAATTTTGGGACTTTTGTTTTTTTTGCATCTAAAAATTATTAAGCGCCAGTCTCGTGACGGTTCTTCAGAGATAGGGTGATAGGGAGAAAGATGATGAAAGGGGAGATTGGGAAATGGGGACAGGAAACAGAAGAGAAGAGAGATAGAGAGAGAGAGGGAGAGAGAGATAGAGAGAGGGTGAGATAGAGAGAGATTGAGAGAGAGTTGCGAGAAGAGAAGAGGTGGAGAAAAAGAGAGAGAGAGTGGCGGGAAGAGAAGAGGCGAGAGAGAAAAGTTTGCGATTCCATTTTTAAGAAAGATTGGAGCAAGCAATCGATAATAACGTTGTTTTCCGAGTGAATACAGTGCACAAAGTTCAGATTGCATTCTCCAAGACGAGTTCAATATTTGAAGCATACTTTGAAGACCTCCATATAAAAAAACCGTTGAAATATTAGAGAAGTGTTCGACTGATTATATCACCCTTGAAGAAGGACGATGTTAACGAATAACGTCGGATTTGGTTTAAAATATTTTTTCCTTAGTTCTTCCAATCCATATTTCCGAAGAAGAGAAAATGCAAAAAGGAAAACTAAATTTCCATCCTCAAGTGTCATATATATATTAGAGTTTAAGAGTAATGAGCAAAAAAATGCGGCAAGCGGAGATGTTGTCAATGTCTACGGGCGTATACTCTAACCAGTTTGCCTGGTCTTCAATATTTGCAACATTCTCATTTTTTTGCGAATGAGAAAATGTTTACCATTCGTAACACATCCCTCAAACAAATCGTCGGATGATTGCAGGTGAACGATGACTATTGACGATGCGTATAATTTCTTGATAGTTTGAATCTTTAAACGATGTGTGATGGCATTCCAACCATTAGTCTACAAGTTGCAATTGTTTACAATGCCGTCGAACGCTAAATCCAGAATCTTCCATTGCCTTGAAAATTACGTAAATAGCGCCAATAGGTTAAATGTAATTCGTAAACTAACGGTGCCAATGTCATTAATGTCATGGAAATGACATTTGAATAATACTATCTAAAAATCATAGGAGCCTGTCAATAGGGCTGCCATATATGTGTCGGATTAGAGATTTATTGAGTGATGATATATATATGCACATTCTTGTTTTTTTTTTTGAAAATACGTAATAATTTGACACTCTCTTTCAGATACCTCTAGTCGGGACAGCGGTTGCGCCTCAATGTTCTCAGCAGCCATTCAGTGCAGCTCCAGCGTATATATTAAAGTTGTTGTCTAATTTGGGTCTGATCGTAACTGTTGTTATTCTGGTGGCGTTTACAGTATGGTGTAAGTATAATTTGCTTAAACGAGTTAATTCGACGTATAAGTTGCCTAACAGGGCTTTGATCGAAATTTGCGTACATCTGGTCATCTTCAAGTAACGTAATTTTTGTTCAGTTCTTAAAGCACGGATAAGCTGTATAGTGCATTGCAGATCTGCAATATGGAGAACTTCAACATTGCTAGCAGTCATTGCCGGGACTAAGTACGAAAAAATTGGACTTCATTCATCAATGAAGTCTCTTTTAAAAGTGATAAAGCCAATCCAACACCTCTCTGACATTTTAATGCTTTTCTTAGATTGATACTTATCTGAATTATGCCAGCGCAGATGTTTTTATGCGACCGGGAGTAAACGCGGGACGCATTGAGCAAATATCTTCGTCGTGTCAAGTTTGGAATAAACTATCTTTTGATATACTTAAGATGACAGATAGCTCTTGGAACACACTTCTTCGACTATCGAGAATAGCTCTCCGCATTTATTTAATGTTTTTTGGTGCAGCCCCCCTCTTTTGAGTGCCCACTTACGTAGCGTTTTTCAAATTACTTTGACATTGAACGGTTTTTTTTTCATCATCAAGCAAAGTGCGATCAGTGCACGAAATTAGGATTTTCCCATTGTTTGTTCACCATCGCAAACAATGCAACTTGTAGGTAAATGACTGAAATAGTATGAAATTCCGGCAGGTGTTTTAATGATTGTCAGCATCTAAAACTAGTATGTATTCCCGTTGTTAGAAGCGACATCAATCAGTTTTGGTAATATGTGACCGAGATGTTACGTGAGCACGAGAAGTGGACATTTTACATTATCTTGGAGCGGTACAGAACAGAAAGCGATTCTATTAGATTCTGAACAGAAAGCGATTCTATTAGATTCTATTAAAAGTTAAAAATGTTTTTAGTTAGCGGTAAGACTAGGAATGATTTTAGTGCATCTGATAAGGTAATTGTTGAGTGCTATTAAAACTATGCATCCTTGTAACTATTTCGCTCATAAAATAGGAAAGGGGCAGGGCAACATGTAATTTCTGTTAAATTCTTTGTGGACATATTTTTAAGCATTTTCGCCTATAATATTTATAATTTTTTCTGTTTTCTCTACTTGCAGTGTATTTTTCTTTAAATCCTTCAGTTGGCACAACACAAATTAATCCAGACGGTAAGTTTAATTAACCGTTTCCTTTGTATTTTTATGTAGTTTGTTATTCTTTTTTTTTGTTTTTTTTTGGTTTTTTTTTTTTTTGTTTACTTCCTTTAAAAGAAACTTGGGCAAGAATCAAAATAGAAAAATCTTTATAAAAGTTCGCTTTAAGGGGAAATAAAACGAAACGCAATTACGTTAAAATGAATTTCAAAAGTTTTTGCCTTTTAGCTTGTTGTCGTTTTACCAAAGCCAAATGTTTCTACCAGCAATTAATATTCTTAAAGCATTTCGTTCTCTCTGCTTTGTTGCTTTGTTATTGTTTTTGTTGTTTTTCTTTATTAGCAGCAATAGTTGGACAATAACTAGTTATCGATACTTTTCAAGGGAAATGACTCATACCCATCACCGGTTCATGGGGTGTTGCAAGGACTATTGTGTCACTTCGAAAATAAGCAAGAGGAGAGCATAAACTTTTCGCATACATAGGAGTAGTGGAGGTCACGGCGGTCTTTTCTCGTATATTATTCGGTATAAAAATTATTAATAACTTTTCATATTAGTGAATAGCATCTTCAGCATGTCAATATTGGTTCCATCTTACTTCCGAAGGACGGAAGAACGCAATTTTATTACGTTTGCTTTTGGGGACGTCCGACGTGGAAGCCGCAATTCGAGAGTTGACATCGAGACCCACTGTCCAACCCAAGAAATCATCTTAATTTGCCGCCATGCTTGTCTACAAGCGTTTCAACATCGTCAGCTGGTTTTTATCTGTTACTCACCTTTCGTTTTTATTTAAGTGTGTACGTGCAAGCTCGCTCGTCACAGTAACGTAAATCCAATTCATAAAAACTATTTGAACAAGACATTACGCTCTAGTTTTTAACGAAAGTCGGCGAAAATGAATGCTTTGACGTACGAAGTGAATGGGATGGAACCATTTCTTAAAACTTCTTTTGTAAATAGTTTAGATAGAATATTAATTTATACTGATTCGGCGCATAAATTTACTGTATTAGCTTTCGACCATAGAGACCTTTTCTTCAATCCTTTTTATAAGCGCTAATATATAAAACAGTGTATATATATATGGCATTCGTGCATTCAAACGAAGTTCCATTTTTTAATGATATGAAAGACATTGACAACAATTCAAAGTCAGTTAAAATTCTCTCTATAAAAATTCTCTATATAGGAATTATTGGAGAGAAAAATTTAACGATTACCTACATTCCAATATCCTTTCTTTATTATAATAAAACTTTTTTCTTTTTCTTCTTAATATAAAGAATTTAGCATATCTCTTAGAATTGATTTTCAATACATCTCTATTTTTAAGATCACGTATAAAATGATATTTTGTATCGACTTTTTTCGATCTTCCGCTTTTTGCCTCCATATACCTCAGTATATAACTTTTTACATAGCTCTTGGTGTCCTCGAAGATTATTACAGCTTTTTTATTTTTAATTCCAAAGTCAGCCAAAAGGGTTTGTAACGCAACGGCTTTTTGTGCAACTGCAGCTACTGATATATATTCTGCGTCAGTTGATGAAAGCGAGGAACATTGCTTTCGTTATGTCCAGATTGTGACTAATTCCTAACTTCACTTCATGCCCAGACGTTTCTTTCTTCTTGTAGGTCTTATCTAAGGAACCTTTTATTTTATAGTTTTTTATTTTATAGACAGATATTTTTTATTATTTATACACTCTTTTCAAATATTTATAGTTTCTCTTGATATTTTTGATTTTTACGCAAAAAAAGCATTTCCCTTCGAAAAGCGTTCATTTCCATTAAGAACTTTTGCGTAATTTTCTCTTTCAATTTACTTCTAACGAAACTAAGGTTGAAAGATGTGCGATTCCGTTTTCAAATTATCAACTTGCACGCAAATAGTCTTTATTATAAGGACTCGCGTCCTTAACGATGATTTTTCTTAGTGGTCCTTGAGCTTACTCCAATAATCTCCTATTGTAACCGGATATTTAAGACGTGTGCATTGTTCATCACCAATCAAACAAAAACGCATGCTCTTGTCCGTACATCCTTCTTTATCCATTTGGTATCCGTTACAGCTGCTGTTTCCTTAGTCGCCAAATGCCCAAGATTTTCTTTTATTAAGAGCACTTCCATCTTAAGCTTCTATTATGCAATCAAGCTTACGAGCATTCAGATTCTCTTATTCGATTAAACGCCCACAACCAACCTATAGAATCATTAGATTGTATGTTAATCAAGTGAAGGATTATTTCATTGGATTATCGATTTTGAGGGCTGCGTTTGAAAAGTCTTTTTCAGTAGCATATGTTAGACAGGAAGGTAATCACGTAGCGGAAAAGAAGCTTTCGCTGTTGTATCCATCGGTTTGGCAAAAACTAATTTTTCATACGTTGTTGTCACTCGGGCATCTTACGTTTAGAGTAATGTTTGTAGATTCACAATGTGCTGATATTCTCTATGTAGAACGGTGCTTGATAAATGACAGTAAATGATTACTGCATTCCAGGAAACAGTATATGTGGGACAATATTAGCCAATGTGGTACTTAAATGTCTCCTTTGTCTTCATACTAAACGAATTATAAAACTTAAACCTATCTATTTACTGGATTTCTCCATTCTCCTACACTAGTTCCGTATTATTCATGGGAAGTAGAATTCTTTTTTGTCTATCTTATCCTTGAATTCTTCTTAATAATTTGATTTTCTCGTATTCGTTCACTACACACATCACTATGTTGCGTTAACCAAGAGGAAGCCAAGTCCTTATCCCATTTAAGTTTTAAAAACGTTCTGCCCCTTTACATACATAGATATGTTCTGTTTGGATTCTTATTCACAGCCAACTGAACTTACTTATACTATTGTATTCTTTTTAACGGTATTTGGCATCATCATCACTAAGTTACGAGCTCTGGTAAGCGTTTGATCGAAGTTTACCGGCAGTTGTCAGTCAATAGCGCTCAATAAGCCGCAAATTGTTAACTGACATATTGTTTTGTTTTTTTGCTTAAACGGTTGGACTAATAAGTCAGTGATATATTCTGCGATGAGAGGCTTTCCGCAAACAGCAGTCAGCTGATGTCTAGCTTCAGTGATGGTTGATGAAAATTAACCATAGGCCCGACGCAAAGCGAAAAGAATATTGTGCAAGAGTTTCTGTTCCTTGTGCAGAGCAACATCGGTGACAATTTAAATCGTCTACTCCGCCCTCTCTACGTTGTCTGTTTTGCGTGTATGCCTGCCTACCTTTACGGTGCTGTGAGCTTGTATTATAAAACAACATGCATTCATTGAGTTGGCAACTGACAGTGAATGATTTAACATATGTGTCGTATTTATAAAAACACACTTTTTTCTTGTCATCATCAGCAGCGATGGCATTTATACAAAATGCCGAGATATTATAGTTTCATTTGTTGATTAAGTGTTACCTCTGCAACGGTGGGAGCATTGTGTAAACACTGACTGAAGAATCAATCGCAAATGAGTTTCTTTGCATATATACATAACACGTGCATGCATGTACAACGCTTTTGGACAAATTACTTACATGAATGCCATCACCGTCAACTGTTCACGAAGATCGTTGTCATCGTCAACATAGCTATGAATATGAACATTGTCTCTTTTGTAGACATTTATATATATATGTACGCCTCTTGAAGGTATCTGCTTTGCCTTGCGGTGAAAATTTATTTATATAAACCTTCGCTTTGCTTTCGTAGATTCGTATACATACCTATTTTTATGGGTGTTTCTCACCACGATAACTGTGTTAAGTGGTTTTTCCGCTCTGCAATTTGCATCTGCTTTCAATTCATTAACGCGCAACCTAAATTTGCTGGTTATCTTCATTTTATTTTGCGACTGTTTGACACACAGACAAGAACGTACACATATATCGCTTTAAGTACACTTTGATCTTAAACGCAAATTAATTGTAAGAGAATTACATGCATAACACTTATTAAATCAAATGCGACGATATGCAAACTTAACGTTGTATACAGTTGCCTTTCCCTAATTACATCTTCATTACAGAGCACGAAATAAAAGTATGACAGTAGTTAACTTTTATCTTCTTACCTACTTGTTCCTTACAACATCAGTAAGCATTAAAATTCTAGAAGGTTTCTTTAGCCTGAGGAAGAAATGTATCCCCTTGTTAAATCGATAAGCGATAGGGAATAAGTGCATCAGGTTATCCAAACGCGTATTGTTAACGTCGATGACGAATCTGAATAAATAGACGGCGCCATCATCAGGGGTGCAGTTGGGTGCAGACTATTAAGAGTTGCTCTAGACAAGAAAACCAACCCTAGGAACTGCCAACCCTAGGTCTGCCAACAGTAACTGATGCAGTTCAAACGAAAAACAAGAATGATGACTTTTGGCACCGCATGCTTGTGGCACTGAGTCGGAGTATGTCAAGTTTCGCGCTGTGTTCCCTAAAACGTCACTTCATCTGAAAAACAATGGATTCAATCGATGACCCGTCATATGATTGGGCAAGGGCTTCGTTCTTATGACTTTCTATGAAGAGGTTTGTTTATGGATCGATTACACTTTGTGCGAAATTAATCTTTTGCCCAAATATGGGAGAAGTAGTGGAATACTTTGTGTCATTTCTTAAGTTCGCTATGGGATATAGCAATGTTGGGATGGAATTTGTGGCCCAAGTTGCCAGAACGCCATACTAATGAAGCATAGTCCCTCCAAATTCCAAGCAGAAGTCTACGCAATCACGTCATGTGCATCTAAATGTTTAAGAAGGCAGTGCAGGAGAGAACGGATCTGCATATACACGCACAGTCAAGCCGCCTTGAAGTCCCTAAGGGGAAGTGTCTTCAATGAATGAGATAGGCAGACACAATTTGCATCTAATTTGGGTGCCTGGACATTCGGGTGATAAGGGCAACGAAAGGGTCGACTTTTTAGTTAACAGGGGAGCCCGAGGCGCCTTGGCCCTGAACAGTTCTGTGGCGTATCAAGAACCAATATTAGTAGACTGGCATCGCAATGGGCATAGAGTAAAGCGGACTGCGGTTGCAAGCAATGTGCAGGACAACGGGAGGAAAAAGATTCATAATATCTTCCGGTAGGGCACACAAACTAATGGAACTAAGAGGAAACAACCCACATTTAACCACGGGTTTCTATACAATTCATAATTTCCTCAGATACCATCTGAAAAACATGGGTATGCTTAATACCGATTCATGCAGATTCTGCCAAGAAGCGAGGGAGGCGTCCTATTACATTCTATGTGAATGTGAGGCCATCTACAGAATCAGATGCCGGCGAGCATTTTACAAAGCCGAAGAAGGTGTGACGCTCCGACCAAAGGAAATTGCCGGGATTTGTAAATTTTGCTAAAACTGGAAGACTAGTGGCATGGGCGTGTATTCAATAGATCTTCTGGGTCTAGCGAATTTTGAATGGCTTAACAAATCATTCTATAAAAAATGCATGGAAATGAATCATTCTTGAAGGAGTCCATGTTGACGAATATGGTGAAGGTTTCCGGGAATTATTGATCGATCCATTCAACCATAATTTTCCAAATGCGTATGCATACTTAAGCCCGCCAATACGTACGTTACATGTTCGCACTTATAATGGCAAAAATTTATAGATAAAAGAACTATTGTCTTCCTTTGTTTTTTATATACGAAACCCTATCAATTTGCAGGCTTTTTTTGTAGGATTTGCTAAAGTAGGAAAAATTTAAATAGCAACAACAACTTTTTATCTCAGTATTGGTTTTTTTGCATTTCCAACAAGAATCCGTCCAACTTCGACTGTGGAATAGGCGTAGTCCGTTGTAAACAAAAGCAGGGGACTTTGAAAAATGAGTTTTGAAGTGCCGCCTAAATAAAGCCAAGTAATGAAAACTTTCTTGAACAGCATGTGCATTATAAAGTTCGACAACTGAAAACCATCAACATAACTGTGCTTCAGCAGATTTATTGTTAATTTAATTATTTATTTTTTTCGTATTTAATTTTAGTTTTTGTTACTGCCAAAAATCTTACGCCAAACTCTGTGTCCAGTTCCCCGGCCAGCCCGGTGAGAGATTCTCCTGAAATTTTGCTTTCACCATATTGTAAGTTTCATTTCTTTTTACGCTTAAGACACAGAGCTTACACATCTCTGTCCATCATATTATTCGTACTATATATATACTTATAAAATTTTCATGTCCACCATAGCACGGGACGGCAAATATTTCTTCATTTTCATTGTATGCTTCCTTTTTAAGACAATTGTTGTTCTTTTTTTATATACTTTTAAGATAATCGTGGCAGCCCGAGCAGTGTTGGCAGTTTATCGCCTGGAAACGAATCTTTAGTGTACGGAGATACAACTTTAGTCTCGCCTCAAAGGAGATTACATCGCAGATGTTTATGAGAAAATTGTTCTTAATTTATTATTTATGCATCTGCGGTCTGCACAACCGTAAATACGCAGTTTTTATTGTATTCGAGTTTTATGAGAATCACGTCAAACGTAACGTCAACAAGCCATCGTCATCGTCATCGTCATCCGCACCCTTGATGGTAATTTTAACAAAAGCTTAACGAAAAAAATAAATTTCGCTTGATCTCCGTTAATTGTTCTCTACATTTTATTCTGAAGCGTCGATTGGTGTTGTTGTCCTATAACTATTTTTTTTTGTTTTTTTGCTAAAATTTATTTTCATTGAACTGAATACCGTCACCTTTTTTTTTTTTTTTGAGTTTTAATAATTGTATTTCTACCGCTCTTTTCTTAATATTAATGTAATTTAACATTTTAAATATAAATCAAATACACTTGTCGGACGTTTGGAACGGTAAATTTTGTCATGGTTGTAATGTGAACGACGAGATTTTTGTGAATTTCGATGCCAGTTTTTCTTTTGTTATTCTGACGATAGAATTCCATTTTTTTTATACCCACCGCGGAAGGGATATGTTCTTATGCCATAACAAGTATCAAACCCTAAATCGATCTAATCATGTCTGTCTATACGTCTGTGTGTCTGCAATGTCCATACTAAACATAATCCTGGTTGTAAACATTAGCAAATCAGCTTCAAATCTGCTAAAAATATTGGTTTCTTACACACACACACACACACACACACACACACACACACACACATTAGTATTGAAAATGGACTAATCCATGATGCAAGGTAAATCGGGAAAACTTTCGTCTTAAAAAGCAAAAAAAAATTGATTTTTTATACCCATAAGTAGTCATAAACTGCTGTATAGACGCAACGTCAAGAATTTCCACCTACATTTTTTGGGCGGCAAATATTTAAAAAAATACCCACACCTGCCTGACACATAGGAACGTAATTTCTTGTTGTTTCGAGCAGTGTGCTTGAAATCGACGTTTCATTGGACCAAGGTTGCCGCGGGCATCACTCTTTGCGCGGTAGAGCGTTCGCAAATTATACAGGCATCCTGTGCCGCATGACAACAAAAAATTTAAGAATGAAAAGAAGAAAAAAGATTTGAATTTGAAACAAGCTAAAAAGGTCCAATCAAACCTTTAATGAGTTCACACTTTGTAAGTCCGTTTGTGAGGTCTGTTGTTCGCACTGTACGCCGTTCGTTAATCCCTTCTTAGTCCGTCAATAAACATTCCCCTTCCCCCCTATCTTCACTCGAGCGTACACCCACCCATACTTCGCTTCAGCGGTGGAGTGTGCCGCTTTGGTTGTTGTTGACACATATCTTCCCCATAATCAATTTATTCGTAGTATTAATTTTTTTTTTATTTATTTATATTTGGTTTTGAACTCGCACTATTGCAAGTTTGTTTATCAAATGGTAATGCCTTTTATATCAAATCACAAAATTTTTCTTGTCATTTTAGTTCACGAGATTTGCCAACCAAACAAAATCATTTGTCTCACATCAATCGCTTTTTCTTCTGTGCATAGCGGCAAGCCGCTATTCTCGACAAATGTGCTCAGACCGACAGAACCCCTACCCTACTTTTGTAGGCGGATGTTGCAAGGGTTTGGAAATCATTCACTTTCCTTTAAGTTCAAGGAAGTGTTCTATTACGGCCTGAGTACTGCATACCGTAAACTTTAGACCAAGTCTACGTTTCGCTCGATAGCACTCTCAATTCTGAAATGTTTAATAAGAACAAGAACAACTAGAAACAAATTCAAAGGTACTGATTATAAATTTGGACTACATGAAGCCCCGTTGGGAAGACGTACAAATCCATCAATCAGATCACCGAATCGATTTGTTAGATTCTTACGAACGCAGATTTTGGCCATATTGCGGTAGTTTTGAGGAAAAGCAAATACTCGAGAAATAAAAAATTGTCTCTACTTCCTTGCACAAGTAAAGTAGTTACGGTGCTAAACAAAGATAAGTCAATTTAGGAAAAGGAGTTGTTCAGGAAATCTGACTCAGTTATAGGTTACGATAGATCAACCCCTTTAGGTATTGGTAACATTGTCAAGTACATCTTACATATTGGAAGGTAGTAGCGTTTTCTATTATTAATTTAGCGAGAGAATGAGTTCTAAGACTACTCTTTGCCACTAAAAGGCATGACGATGATCGTGTAATAGTTTTTTTATGGGAGCCATGCTGACGTTTTTAAGAGCTTTATTGAGACGATTTTCTTCTTTTTGGGAAGGTACACTACTACTTTTGATCCAACTCAAGACTTGGGCTTGAGGTATTTTGTTTGAGATGGTTAGCATGGGGAAAGGCTCCTTTTTTCAAAGTTATTAGTACTACCTACTGGCAGACCGAAAATTTTAAAGAAAAAATATGCTGTACTTTTCCATGCATTTGCTAACGTAACGTACGTAGCGGAAGTAGTGAAATTAAACAATTTTTTGATTGTTTGCTCTTTCGTTTTCATTAATTGTGTGGAAACAAATTCTGTTAAAGGTATTGCAAAACGAGGCCATGCAATGCGAAATGTTTGAAAATCAAGGAAGAAGAAATCGGCCATGCCTATGCAATGTTATAGAGATAATGGAAACATCTTCTTTTTCTTTTCTTTTCCCTTTAAGATAAAGGTGGCGTGTTTAAAAGATTGGTCTAGAATTGTACAATAATTTTTTATATGTTTTTCTTTGTACTATTTTTAAGAAAAGAATGAATTCTCAAGTATATAAATACCAATCTGGAAGGCAGCTGAAAATTGACTTGAATTTAAATTTAAGATTAAGTAAAGCAAAAATCTTATAGGGAGACATTAAATTACTTCGATCTTTATTACGTCGAAAAATGCGAAGGTAACTATACATGCCCATTAGAAATACAGTAATATATACACAGACACAGCCACAGCCAGCGCATAATTCTGAGTGGATTTAAAAATCTCCATTCGTGTGTGCCTACTCAGCCATATGGTTACATGTGGGTGTTAATTCGCGTAAGTCTATAGGTATTAAGAAAGCAAACTAAGATTTGATGTAAAGGGTACTAATTCACGTTGAAGGTTAGTTCAAGTTTGAAAATAAGTGCACTAAAACCGGAAAAGACTAACATGCAGTATATGGCTATAGTCTACCTATAATTTGGCGTAAAGATTGGAGCTATCTAAAAATTTACTGTGGAGATGCTTTTGCGTTGTTTGTTAACAATGAATAAAAATTTTTCAAATTTTTTTTTTTTTTAAGCAGTGGGCCACAATACGATTATAGCTTACTCTTACTTACTTTAGATAATTCTATTATTAATATTTTATGTTATATATGCGGCCATAAGATAACCCCAATAAGTTTAAGTGAAATAAATGTGCAGCCATTTTACCTTAAGGTCACCGCAGCTAGAAAATAAGACCACATATTATTTTTTTGTAAATTTGTGATCAAAATTAATTTCCGTACCATTAAGATTCTTTTTAAATAAATAAAATGGCATTATATTTTAATCAGCGATTTTTATTTGTAGACTTTCCTTCGCAACCTATTCCATATAGTGTATGGTATTGTATGCATTCTAATATTTCCTTTTTTTCCAAGCAAACATGCAGTGTTCTTTAATCTATAAAAATGTTCGAAGTGTAATTATTATGCTTTGACAGAATAACCTATGCTAACACCGCCATAGCAGCCGATAAAAGTAACACTTTTTCGTTGTGGATGGAAGAATAATTAATAAAATAGTAATACTCGAGGAAGTGATGAAAGAAATGAAATAAGATATTAAGAAATGGAAACGCGGCAGCCGTATTTGCGGCGTGCTTCAGGTGCGCCGTCGTCCGTAAGGTCGAGTCATCACCTTCTTGTTCAAGGCAATAGGCCCACTTGCCTCTCCCAAGCACTACACGTACAGATGGATGATAACTGTCCGCAACAGTGACGACAGGAGCAGGGCGAAGAATTGTTAATCCAAAAGAAATGCAATAGACTAGTTCTAATAATATGCCTCCATGATTGCGGATTTTTTCTAGTGACTGAGGCATAGCTCATCGTCGCCTTCAAAAAAACGTAGTTAGCAGTCGAATATAAAAGAATAGTGGGACGAACATGTTCATTCAATTCCCAAGATACATTGGCTACACTAAGATCCTCAATTGCAACTGTGATATTGCTTGAATTGACAAGCGTTCAAATGTCTTGGAGTAGGCTAAGGTACTGAAAACAACCACATTTTAAAAGTCGGCGGAATATATAATAGTTAACTATCAGTCAATAATTGATCTAAAATTAGTAAATAACCCTCTATAATTTATCCCCTCAATATTCCACTAGCCAAGGGCGTGAAAATTCTACACGCGAGTTATTGTCACGCGGAATAACATCTAAAGCGATTGAGATATGTACCTGCTGTAAGTGTACCTCCACTTTTTCGATCACAACTTGTCGAATTTGTATATCTGAGCCGCACAGAACCTAATTATTGAGGGTGTCGGGTTTCAACCATGTTTCCGTTGACCCCATCACTTGGTATTCGCAGCTCAGGCTTCGAAGAAAAACGTTACAAAGTCGGTCTGACGTTTTGATAGTAAATCAAAAAGAGATGAGGAGGTATGAACTATTACTGCCTCAAGCCACAACGATCTATCTATTCAAAACTTATCCGAATTGTTAGGGAGAAACAGTTATATTGTAGGAGTAGAAAAATAAAACTTGCACGTGACCCCAAATTGTGGTATTTCTTAGAAGTTTCAAACACCAAGGCAACAAAAGATTCTTACACTTTTTATTTGTCAATCTCACTGAAATCGACCATCATTAAAATGTGTTGAAAGCAAGTAAGAACATTAAAGTCGGGTGCCGTCGAACATTACATACTCACACCACTTTGTTTAATGCAGTTATTCACTCGTTTTGGTAACAATACACTAAAAAGTATACATTATCTTCATGCTATGCCACTTTCCCTTTATAAGAGCGCCTATATATGCTTTGGCCTAAAATCAATAGATCTAACGGTTACCATTAATTAATTTTCACCATAAAATATTTTTCCGAGTGCTCACCCATGAGATATTTTATGTTGAGTGGGGCCAAGAAATAGATCTATGTGGTTCAAATTAGCTCTACTTCATTTTTGTAATTTAATGACTGCCACGAAGAAATTTTCATGACAAAAAAATTAGCAATTAGGACTTTCTGGCACATAAGCGTTTAGGTTCCATGAGAACCCTCATATGCGATGGTATTGAAAAATTAGACCTACGTGGTTAGAATTCAGCAAAGTTGATTTCTGT